AGTCGGCCCAAGGGGTCAAGAGTCAAGATAAAACTTGGGTCAACGTACCAGCTGCTTCCTGTTCGGAGTTTTCTTGGCTCACACTACTTATTTAATATTTTATTTACACACAATAGTAATGACCTTACAGTATATAGGCTTGCATTGGACACCTGGTGTATCCCAAATTAATTGGTTGTTGTTGTTCTTTCTAAAGCTTCAACTCTCTTCATGTCTTGGGATTCCGAGCGGGATTCAATTTACCACAACGATGGTTTTTTTGACGTCAAACCTGGCTTTCTTTGGGTCCAAGGATGTCGACCCAAGTCCAAGGCTTCCGTCCAAGGCTCTGTTGGATCACCTTCGACTGATTGGCGGGCGGCTGTGGTCCCAAATCATATGAACTCCCGTGGTGAATCGATGTCCGTCCTCGTCGCTACGCATCGTTCGGTCCTGAAGCCAGTGAAGTCCAGTCGCACGGAGATGCTTCGAGCCTCTCATCGCCGGGTTTCCTCAAAATCACCACGCCCAGGGCCTGAGGATGACCATTTAGCTTAGTTGTGGACTGTGACTGTGGACTCCTGAATATTCTCAAATGCTCCTAATAGTAATTACGGTAGGTCGAGCCAAGTGGAGTCCAACTCTGGTATGGCCTCCTTATTTGCCTCATGTTCAATTATAATATAATATTTTTATATTATATATATATATATCACAATTCCTCAATGATTCAATTATGCAATTATTGATCCAAAAGTAATATCAAATATATCAAATGTATTTACCTGGAGTTTCAAAGGGGTGCGATCCATGGAGATTTTAGGGGTGCCCATCATCCACTCATTGGATGGGACGAGCCACACCACTCTTTGGTGAACCCTGGCAATGATGAAAAACCAGTTGAAAAACATATTCCAAGTGTTTTCCACGTGTTGTTTTACTTGTTTGGGCCTCCCCTGCTAAGCCCGTCGCGAAAACCATCCGTCCCAGGCCATGGCAGCCTAAGCCGGGAGGAGGTCGGAGAGGGCGGAGAGCCCGGGAAAAGAGGATCGTCCGAAGGTTGAAACGGGCGGTCCGGGGTTCCATGGGTGGATTGAGAGTATCATGGATGTAGATGGCACACATGTCTTTTCAGTTTGGTGGTTTAGTATAGTGGACTTTTTTAGCTGAAAAAAAAAGCACAAACATACATCTGCCGCCATCGAAGCAAATTGGGGGGACATCGAAGCAAATGGCCTCCAACATCGTGGGCAGCACCGTGGAAGCAGGTGCGTTCGATCATGACAGCCTGGTGGGATGCTCGGACACCTTGTTTTGTGTGGGGATTTCAAGATTCAAAAAGGCATTGGAATTTCACATCACTTCACCCAAGTCGAAGGGTCAAGTGAAAGGGTACCTTTACACAAGAAGCATGAGGTCATTCAAACTACACTCCTTGACGCACTAACAGGCTAGAGTCTAGAGCATCAATCACCTCTTGTGTGGAAGAATAGTGACGTTTCCAGGGGCCATCCACTTGCATGGAACGTGAAGTCGTTTGTGTTGCACATGAACCCTGGTCACCATGCAGTATGTGCTTGTCCCAACTACTAAAGGCATCTGGCCTACCTCCGTTTCGAAGGTGGTTGGGGTGGGTTTGGGGGTCTCACGACCTTCTGAGTATATGGTTGGAGCCCTATTATAGGGCTATATCGTTTTTTCATGTTTTTTGTATCCCTAGTCACAGCTGAAGGCCGGTTCTCTCAAGACCCTCCTCCATCCAACACCTCGAGCCATTGGGCAAGGCCTCCTTCACACAAGTTAAGGCCTGGCGGAGGACCCCCGGGGCCCTCCTGGGAGTGTGGCGTTTTTTCAGTATCATAGAGCAGGGTTTGGGGTGGTTCATGGACAGCCCTGATACAACCCCTTGTATAGGGGGGGCTCTTGGTATAGAGCATGGAATTTGACCTGATTTGTTGTGAGAACATGTGAGAACATACATCGAAAATTGAGTACCCGCAATGGATTCTTCTCAACAATGATGTTGGGCGAGGGAACTTCCAGAGAGTTGATGACTGAAGCACCAAAAAAGAAGTAAAGTCGAGTCGAAAGCTGTAACATGATGTAACATGTGTATATTTTTATACACTAAAAGAACAACATATTACAATAGATCGATATAAAACGGTCGCACGTGTTTCCAGGGTCATGGGAATCAGCTCCATGGTCATGGGAATCATGCTTGGTGCAGACGTCCATCGATGGTCTTCGACGGTTGAAGTCGACGGGACACACGTCGTCGACGGGACACCAACGGTCGTTTCGATCAACACACGTCGTGACGGGAGGTTCCCCATGGGTTCGGGAGAAGCGCCCAAACGACGTGTGATACCTCTCTCTCATTCGCGGAATTCAATGGATCGTTCGATACACAGAGAGAGCGCCGAGACCGGACCATACCGGATTCCTGGTTTTGATAGGAAAGGAACAAAGCTTTTGGGGTGACCTAGTGGTCCAAGAGGTCAGGAATCGATGCGGTCCATCTTTTCGCAGCCCCGTTTTGAACATATCGGGTGCGCCCCAAGCGATCCAGCTTGCGTTGGCCGTTCTCGAGGTTTCACCTCGTCGGCAAGCGTTTGCTGGGCGGCTCTTTTTTTTGCGAAAGGCAGGGGAATGGACCACGGTTGATGGGTTGCACGATTTTCACCGGCGCTCGCATGCGCGAGCCGCTTTTGTGGCAACGAGGTCCTTGGCTACAGATGACGTCCGATCATACTGGGCAAATGATGTTAATGTTTCAATCGGTCCGATCATGCAGCGCAGCATGTTGCAAGTGTACAGACTCAGACTTCATATCTGAATCATTCTGCAGAGTGACCACTCAAAAAAATTTCAAAGATATCTCAAGATGTCACAAATTGAGAAACCAACCCATTCAACATCCACCACGCAAGAAGGCCAAGCAGAAACCGATCCCCAGTCACGTCTCGCCCCGTCTCGTCTCGCGTCCGCGTCCGCGTCCGCGTCCTCCAGGTGCCTTTTGGGGCACCGAAGAGTCGACGTCGAGCACCGCAGCTCGACTCGGTGGATTTCAGCACCGAAAAGCTTCTACAGTAAAAAGGGCGACGGCGGCCTGGCCGGGCAGTGTGAAGGAGTTCAGTTCGATGCTGTGGGAGTCACAGTGGCACAACGCCGCCAAGGCACCGTGTTCACTGATGTTCACTGGATGCTAAACTGCTAGTTAGTGGGTGTGGAGAGTCTCAACTTCTGCATATCCTGAAAATACACTTTGCTAGTATATATGATTTGTTTGCAACAGACGAAAGACGGGTGGTTGTTTCTGACCATATTCTTGTGTTCAACCTTTACCTGGGTTCATCCTGGATGATTGAACCCACGCCACTGACTATAATATGGTTCAAGTCAGCTAAAACGAACATAATCGCACTGCTATGCTGTTGGAGGAAGTTGAGCCCTACACTACTCAGCATATCCATGAAACATCACAAAAGAACATGACATTTCTATACATGCCATTAGATTTAGTGGTGCAGCATAGAAGGATGCATTGGGTAGATTTTAGATGCTCATGTAGTTCTGCTACTCAGCTACTCATGATTTCATTCGGGGGTTGTGTGATGTGGCGAAAAGACAGGCTAGATACATTTATGGAAGTCGACATATATAATTTGCAAGGGGACGTTCTCCAAGCAACGCTGGTTCTGTAAAGAAAGGCTTTTTGTGTCTCCTGGGCCCTTGTGAGTCTTTGTGCTTTAAGCTTGCCAGGCAAGAAAACAACATTAACCTCGCATCATACGCTAAAGCATAACAGGGAGACTTTTGTGTTAGGGAGACTTCTTTGGTTGTCTCAAATCTGTTCAACATCTCTTTGCATATGGAATATGGGTCAAAACCTGGAGCCCCCACACCGTGTGGCTTGACCTGATGTTGATAGGTCAACCGCTCGGTCTCCCGGTGACCCAGAACGGATGGAACTGGTCCAGGTTTCTTGTCCCGTGCGAGGTTGGAAGTAGAACATATGACTCATATGACATGCAGCCCCCCAGCCCCCTATAGAGGAGGCTGAGCTTCAGCAACTGGTGAAGGGCCCCACGGATAGGGGAGTCGACCAGGAAGTGATCATTTCAACCGACATCGTTTTTTTGATGGATTTGAACTACTGCCAAGATCATGAGAAGGAAAGTGGACTCAAAGACTTTTGCTTGTTACTCTCCCTAGAATCAATTAACATGGAAGTGGAAAACCACCTGTTTGTACTGGAACATGGTCTTCCAAGGGGTCACTCTCCACTTCCATGTTCGTTCCAGGGAGAGTAACATGATCCCTTTCTTTGGGACCCTCAGCTACCAGCCACCAGTCCGGAGGCGGCAAGCCGTGCCCTAGCTCGCTGTGGCCCATAGCTGCAAGGGCCAGTTGGGACGAGACTGGCGTCCCTCAAAACATCATGGGCTAGGCTGATCATGGAGGAGTACTGAGAAGTAATGCTGAATGCGCGGGCAAAAGGGGTCTATGCCCATGCTTGATCGTTCAATAAGTTTCAATAGATCTTTCAATCGTTCACCTGTTTGCAAGACATACTACAGACATACTGTTGATGGACAGAAAGGCTTTGCAACGTAATATACGCTTCCAGTATGCAGACCGTCAACAGTACCTTTTCAGGGGTCGTTGCTGATCTGATGACCTCAGGGTACTGGCCACTCGTGAACGATCACCAGGGAGATGAATATAATTGTTTGTGCTGTCAATGTCGGTTTAACTTGGAGGTGTCCCATAAAACCTGTAACAGTCGGTAAACGATCAAATCACTATGTTGGAGAAAGGCCTGCAACCTAACCATCATCATCCACTGTTACCGGCAATAGGATATACCCAGCGTTTATTTTAACTACTTTCTGTTGGTTTTACGTGCTGACCACCGTAACCTCACACTGCTTCAGCGCATCAACGAGCGCAACCACGAGCACGGCCAAAAAAAAACACGTACCACCGCCCCGCCTTCAGAGCCTTTCGACAGCGCCATGGTGAGACCACGGAGCCTGCCGTGGGGCACTCAATGGCAAGAAAGTGGATCTACCATGGATGTTCGTTAGGGTGCTATCCGTGGAGGTTAGTTGGGGGTGCACCTGTCACATCCACTCACTGGATGGGACGAGGCACACCACCCCCGACATTTGACCCCTGGTACAAGAACTCACTCTTTCTTGGTAACTGCAAGGAAGTCTTTGGTCGACTAGACTTCTAAAACGACGACGATGTTCATCGAAAAATGGCCCTAAATGTTGGGGTGTTTCTCATGTTGGTCTTTCTCCAACCCACCACCTGTCGCACAAAAAAAGACGATGGACCACCGCTCGCGAACAGGTGTGGGTTTTGTCACCGTGGGTGACCCACAGGTTGGGCTGGATGTGGTTGGACGTGGTCGAAACAAAGGTCGGTGGTTTTGGGATGTTTTTTTGGTTGGAAAAGATAGGTTAGTTATTTAGGTCCGTCCTGTTGCCTGTAACAGTCGCTAAACAAGAACATCACTATAACATCACCATTCGTCTCTAAAATTCCTTTAGAGATGGGTTCAGGCCTACAACCTAACCATACAACCTCCCACAGGCTGGATTCTGCCAACGCGGGCTGGACGAGGCGAGCGGAAAGACGCGGGGTAAACCGGACCTGAACCCTCCAACACCCACTCCGGACTGGAAAATAGACCCCAAAGAAAAACCACCCCAATGCAGTTAATGAGATGTAAACATGATAAACATATGACCTATACATGGAGTGCGTGGGTAGTGTTCACTGAGGACTTCCCGGTCGCCGCCGGTGCTTCTGACTCAGCGCCTTAGGCCGCCCGAGCGCGACGCCGGCGTGCTCACGGACTTCGGTCGGCCCGGAACCCGGGGGGGGGGGCGTTCCGCGGAGGACAGGTTTGGGAGCGAAGGATGCGCAAAAGCTTTAGGATCTCATCGCTAACTTGGCTTTAGGAGCTTAGGAAAGCTTTGGGTCCCAATCGGGTCTGGTTTTGGATGCTCTCAAAGAACAGCTTCGTGCCACGACATGGACTCTCCAGAGCTCGCTCTTGGCTCTTGTCCGATTCGGTTTTTCACTTCGGTGCTGCGTGTGAGCTGTGGTGTCACACCTGTGGTTGAGACGGTGTAGAAGGCTTGCTCCTACGGTACACGCTGAGTCGAGCCGGTGCGAGCTGTTGGTGTGATGAACTAGAGTCAGAGTGATCATTGACATGAAGAAGAGAAATAACTATATATAGATAGAACACCGTTAAGTTGTAGATGCTTCAGCTTAGCCTTACAGCATCATGATCATATTGAAATGACACCCAAATTGTTTTGTTGGAATCGGGAACGGATGTTATGGTGACCCTGGACTGGACCATGGATTTCCAATCTGAATGATCCCACCATACTGTATGTTGAATGAACACCTGTCATGCACTTCCGGGACCTTAAGTTTCATGAGTTCCTGAAAGAGACCTTTGTTGAACTGCTGAAAGATCTGGGCAAGGTACTTACGTGTCACGGGTCAGGAATTGTTTCGTTTTCTTTCCATCCCAAAGGTCCCAAAGGACTTTTGGCATAAGCCGAGTGTTGTTGCAAAGACTATGTGGAAATGCTCTGGTCCTTTGCATGTCATCTTCCTTTAGGATCTTCTCCATGGCCAGCTATCGAAAACTGCAGCACAGGCGATCGAAACGAGCTGAACTCGCGTATACTAGGGGAACATGACTCTAGAGATGCACCTGAATACACCTGAGAGATCCTGAGAGGACACGAGCCGAGCTGAAGCAAAGGAGCTCAAAGGAGCTCATCATCTTTGCAAAAAAATCACCGCCGCACCGCCTTTTGACACACGCCGGATAGCGGCAAGTCAATGTGGGTGTTTACACACGTGACCAGCCCACAGGTTCCTTTTGACACTTTGTTTCTGGTAGGGCGGCATAATTGAACAGACTCATATAAACTAAACCATCTAAACTATCTAGAACTTCAGCCCAGCTTGTGGCCTGTGTAGCCAAGCCTTGCTTGCTGTCCTCGCCTTGCTTCGCATGCTGCCATGGCCGATCTGGGCGAAATCTGGGAGCAAGCGAAGCGCTTCCAAGACCGGCGAGTGGTGGAACTCGCCTCGCAAGCCATTCGCAGGCGCGCGGAGCGAGCGAGCTTCGGACGTGCAGAGACGAGGGAGGAACCCGACGCGCAGATGGTTTGAGTGGTTTTGGAAGACTCTGGGAAGAGGATGTGATGCTGATGTTACTTAGGGAGAAATGACATCTACCTACCATCCGCTTTTGCCTGTGTTCAAGCTTTGAAACCATACATGTGTCGTCGTGTCGTTTCTTTTCTCACTACACGTTGGAGGTATACCTCACGCGTTCTCATCAATTTCCTGGCAAATCAGTGATCACGTTTGTGCATTGGCGGAATGTGGGTGGAGAACTTTGTTTGCCCACCATCTCAGAAATATATTACTATATTGTACTATATTGACAGTTTCATCAGTCAAAACTGTTGCTTCAAATCCCTTTTCGTGCTGTTGCAACATGCGTTTTTTAAATCCCTTGTCGCTCCACTGAAAAGCCTGCACTGAAATCAGCCTGGGCTGTCGAATTCGTCCTCGATTTTGCGGCGTATCGAATCGAGGCGTTCGGAGATCGAGTCGCTCGTCGGTGCCGCGGAAGCTTTGCGGCTGCTCGTGGCAGCGAAGCTGGCCTTGCTGGAGGATGCCATTGAGGTGGCGCGTGCAGGCGGAGTTCCACGCGCGTGTCGGAGTGTCCGACGTCCGAGTTCCCCACAGAGTGGGACAACACAGAGTGGGACAACACAGAGTATGCCTCACGCAGGAGTGTCCCACCAGAGTGGGACACAAGAGTATCCTACAAGAATTGTCCAGAAGAGTGTCCTAGAAGAGTATTGCACAAGAGTGTCAATCAACAGTGTCGCACCTTGCGTGTCCTGATATAGAAGATTGTTTGCCCTGCCAACATCCATTTCACTTCATGTCTTCTTCTGTTGGTCCTAACCTCTGCTGGCTTTGTACTTGCCCAGTTCAGTTGGATTGTCATTTTATAGAAAAACATAGAAACACTTCTTTCCAGCTTTATACACCGAGTAGGTCATTTCATAGAGCCAGATGTGTTTTGCTTAAGGTTGGTCACTTCATTTTATGGTTCTGCATGTGAAAAAGAGCCGAGGTAGGACATCCCATTTTATAGAGAATATCTGTTCATCCGTTATGCTTGCACGGGATTATTTTCACGAGGCCTCCACTCCTCCGCACTGCGCACAGACGCCCGCGCGGATGCGCTGCGGCTGCTGGCGCTGGCAGAGGCAGTGAGAGGAAGTTCGGGTGCAGAGAGGCAATACTCAGAGGCCATTGCAGCAGCAGAGAAAGCCTTCCTGTTCTTCATGGACCATGGCGATGAACGACATCAGGCGGCCGTTTTTCTTTGCTATGGTTTTCCAACTCACAAAGACATGGAAGTGGTGGTTCTGTTTTTTCAGTGATCTCGAGTGTTTGGAAAGGTGTTTGGTATGCTGCAGAAGTCTAGCGTTTGGACGTAAGAATCAACAGGACGTCATCAGGGCCTCCGTCCTGGCGGAATGTGGTGTAGGGCAGCAAGGGGATGTTTATTTGCCACCCTTCCAAGACAATGCGAATGTTTCTTGAAGGAAGGGTTGGTGGTTGGAGAAGAGAATTGGATTCTTTCTTCAGGTTTCTTCCATCATCAGCGGGTGGGCCCATGGCGTAGATAGATAGTAAGGGGGCAATTGTTTCACCGTTTGTCCCATTACCTGTAACAGTTGGTAGACAAGAACATCACTATCTTTAGAGAGGGGTTCAGGCCTACAACCTAACCATCATCATCCACATGTTGGTGATAGGATAGACCCAGCTGGATTCTCCGACACAAGCTGGAATTGGCGAGCGAGTGACCTCCTTACCTTCCTTACCCTCCCACTCCATGGGGGAAAAAACCGATAGCTGGAGACATCAACCCCAAGGAAAAGCCCACCCACCTGACTGGATAGACCCAGCTATCCTTCCCAGCTTTGACCCTATCCTTCCCAGGTGGACGCCTCGGTGGCCCTGAGCCATCTCCATTTGCTGCGCGGCGAGTCGGGTGATTTGCACCTGGCGACCCAAGCGGCGGAGCGCGCGGTCGCGAGCGCCGGGGCGTGGCGAGTGGAGAACGGACGGCAACGAGGCCAGGGGGAAGGATCGTGCTTTTCGAGGTGTTTTTGATTTGTTGTTTTTTTCGTGCTTAGAAAGGACATTAAAGGAATATAAGGATGCACCATATATCAATAAATCCTAAGGTATCTCATATCATCTCATATCTCTTGGTGGTCATACCCTCATTCATGTCTGCGCATGAGTCGCATGAGAACAGTCAGTTTGGGATGGTCCTGTTTCGGAACTTTCCTGAACATGCGGTGGTGCTTTTGTGATGTCAGGGTCGCTGTCCCTACACTGGGAAAAACGCGTTCAATCTCTTGCAGCCTCCAAATGAATGAATCTGCAAAGCTCTGGTGATCTTCACTGGGTTTTGCCATTTTTAGAATGCTTTAGATAGTAGTTCTCATACCCAGAAATCCTAGAACTTCTTCCTGGCAGAAATTTTGGCTGATGGGTAAAGGCGCTATTGCCTACTGAAGATCTATATAGGTATAGATCCATCCAAGCGATTCTGCTCCAGATTTCGAGTTCTCCATCCCAGCTCACAGGTCAGGCGCTGCTGGCTCGAGCACATGCCGCCCACGCGACCGCTCAGGGCGACCGGCGCGGCGCGCACGCGCACGAGGACGAGCTCGCGCTGCGATGGGCCGATGAAGCGCTGGAGCTGGCGCAAGAACTGGGCGATGCACCACTGGAGCCGTGGAGCCAAGAAGAAAGAGGTGGTGGTCGATCTAAAGGTCCCTAATGGGGATGAAGGAATTGAGATCAACACCCATGTGTTTGATTGTGTTTGTTGTTGTTGTTGTGGTTGTGGTTGTGGTTGTTGTTGTTGTGTTTGTTGTTGTTGTGGTTGTGGTTGTTGTTGTTGTTGTTGTTGTTGTTGTTGTGGTTGTGGTTGTGGTTGTGGTTGTTGTGGTTGTGGTTGTGGTTGTGGTTGTGGTTGTGGTTGTTGTTGTTGTTGTTGTTGTTGTTGTTGTTGTTGTTCGTGTTGTTGTTGTTGTGGTTGTTGTTGTGGTTGTGGTTGTGGTTGTTGTTGTTGTGGTTGTGGTTGTGGTTGTGGTTGTGGTTGTTGTTGTTGTTGTGGTTGTTGTTGTGGTTGTGGTTGTGGTTGTGGTTGTTGTTGTTGTTGTTGTTGTGGTTGTGGTTGTGGTTGTGGTTGTTTTTTTTTTTTTTTTATGGATGTCAATGCCGACTTGGATGTCTACCAGATATCACAAGCACAGATCATCTGAGCAACAGCCGTGTGCCCAACTTCGGATCCAAAGGAGCGCTCTCTTTACTTTGGTAAAGTGGGGTTGTTGGACTTCTCTTCCAGACATGTTTCCAACTATGATTCTCCAATCTTCTCCATGTTCTTCCCAAATCTGGACCTGTTGGATCTCGGATCTAGAGAACCTTCCAGGGAGTCATGTTCTTGTTCTTTCCTCAGCTCTTTCGCCTAGGAAGTGGAGGTGAGATCTTCCATGGCTCAGTGGTCTGCCAGGCGCTCAGACGCCGCGGCCACGCTGCTACAGGCGGACGGCTTATTTTCGGAATCTGCGGTGGATTGGTCGATTCGCGTCTTTCATTGGGTGTTCATCATGATCTCCACACGTGCATATATCAATATTAATAGAATGTGTACTGTATACCAAGACCTTCAAAGTGACCGAACTTGAGATCCCAGGATGAGGTCACAAACAGGCCTGTAAAAGGC